ATAGCGTTCTTTTGTGATGAAATCAGGTTTGATCTTTAGGGGAGAGGGGTATTTAGAAAGAGTGGAATAAATAAATGTGGTCAGAAAATGGGATTTGAAATGCAATTAAATCAGTTTTGTTGTCTGCATGTCTGTCTGAATGATCTGATCAGATTATCTGTGATTGGTTGTTACATTTTTTACAGTTTTTTTTTTTTCAAATGCTCACACACATTTTGAAAGCTTTGCCTCTTTATTTCAAAACAAATCCAATAATTACACACACAAACTGCAAAATGTCTCGCATCTCTAGCAAAACGAAGCACTGCATTTAAAATATTACAGACATCTCAAAAGCAAACATTTGTCATACGTTGCAAACACCTTTGTCTAAAAATATATTTTTGGATATATCATCTTTCATGAGCTCCTCTGTACATTTCTATACAACATTGAAAGTACTTTGTAATAACATTTTTTCTTTTGTCAAATCCACTTAAATCATTTATGTAGTTCAGATAACATGATATTTTGAGTTTCTGATGATTAAATCATTCTCCTTCATTGTGTTAACTCATTTTTTCCATTTCAATGAACTTAAAATTTGAAGGCAAACAAGCAGGTTACTTCATTTTTTAAGTTAAACCAACAATATTTGTTTACAGTGTGGCAGAGAGATGTTGAAAAATTCACGGTAAACACAAAAGCAAGACTATTTTTTTTTTTTTTTTTTTTTTACATTTGTGGTTGTGAATACAGTATTACACAATCCCAAAAACCTATAACTTGACCTTTGGCCTATTCTAAAGCCAGGATTGGTTGGTGTTCAGTAAATCAATGAGTGTATGTGTTTGAGGAGACACTGATGAATTACACTGGTATTTTGATAGTTTGTGAGATACTTCCTATTAGATTTGTGTGTTACATAGATAGAGAATTGTGTGTTGAAATCTGTCATGTTTAATGATTTTGTGTGTGAGCAGTTGAAAAAAAAACAGTAAAATGTTTTGATCTATTGATTATCAGATCAGTTTTAGTTGCTGAATAATAATGAGCTAAATCCACAGATATGTTGTGGCGTGTGTTAACGTTTCCAGTTCTTTTCACTGAAATAAACTGGTGTATTAAATGGCTCAGATGTGCAGACATGTGAGTCATGAAGTGAGCTGTCAGTTAGACGTTTACCGTATACGAGACACAAAGACTGGAATGTCTGCGTATATGGGAACGATGTGTCACCTATGATCTGGAAACCGTCAAAATGAATCTCACACACTGTAAAAAAAATATTGATGGTTTAACTTAAAATTTTAAGTTGATTGAACTGGAAAAAGTGAGTTAATACAATGAAGGAGATTAATTTAATCATCAGAAACTCAAAATACTAAGTTATCTCAACTAAATAAATTATTATAAAGTTGATTTGACAAAAGAAAATATATTGTGATAACAAATCTTGAAAATATTTTTTACAGTGCATTATCTTCATCTTACACTTACACATTTGTCTCTCTTATTCCTCTGTAGGAGATTTTTTTCTCTTTTCACAGTATAAGTGTGCATCAAACATGTAAACTCCTTCAATAATGTTATATGTGTGTGATTCATTTTAATTTATTACTTTATTTTAATTATTTATATATTTATTTAATTATTTTTCATTATATATAACTCAATCTTGAGTTCCAGGATACATCCTAGGATAAGAGTGCAACTGTTGATGAATGTCCAGAATGATCAGAACTGGAATCCAGACAAAGCAGCAGCATATTTTTGTCACTACATAATTCCAGTACTTCCATTTGTGTTAGTTTTACTGTCTTAACTATTATTGTAAAATATGGAAAATAATGATGATATGACAATGTGTCCAAACAGTTGACTGGTAAACCTCATGAAGGAATGTTCTTGTGTTTATATAGGAGTCACTCAGAGTCCCGTACTGCATTGCTCTCGTCATTTCTCAACAAAAACAAGATGCTTTTGGGTAATCTGAGCTATTTACAAGGCCGTTCACTCGTTTGGGGGTGAGAACAGGATATGAAGAAGGGGGGGAATGTGAAATCACTGAAAGGGAGTTGTGATGTTCCTGACCCTCGGGGAGTTCTATACATCTCATTAGATCCGCATGCTCTACGATCAGAACGACTCCCACAAAGAATGCCAGAGGAGAGCGGGACGAGAGATGAACTCAAGCTTGTTTCATTGCATGTCTTAATAGTCTTCCACACATTGTCCACTGAATTTAAACCCATATAAGTGTGCACATCAGGGTATAAATCATGGAAAGGGGCAAGTAGATCTCCAGAGCAGGGTGTTAACATTTACAGTACATTTAGCTGACGCTTTTATCCAAAGCGACTTGCAATTGCTATAAATGTCAGAGGTCGCACGCCTCTGGAGCAACTAGGGGTTAAGTGTCTTGCTCAGGGACACATTGGTGTATCACAGTGGATTCGAACCCGGGTCTCTCACACCAAAGGCATGTGTCTTATCCACTGCGCCATCATCACCACCCGTGAAAGCAAAGTCTTTCACCTCCGCCAAATGTCGCTGACTCACTTTTCAAAATAAAAGTTTGCAATTAAAGAGGCTATATGCAGCTTTTTCCCCAAAATAAACGTAACAATACCCTTTTTATTTTACCATTTATGACTAAAACATCTCCTGATGAGCATACTGACACCTTGTCCGCTCACAGTGGGTGCACCTATAGACCTTTTTCACAAAAACGGAAATACGTAATCGTTGTGGAAACGGAGTTCCCGTCAACTGTCGACACATTAGAAAAACCTACTCTGGGAGGAGAAAATTGATCAGAGAGTCTTCAAAACTTCGAAAAAATGTAAACTTGTCATGGTCCAGTTGTTGATGACTTTGTAAAATGCTGTGGTGATGCTTGTCTGCAGCTGATGTATCTAAGACCAAAGATATGACTATTGATTTCAGAACTGAAGCTCATTCTTCCCGACATATGTTCATTAAAGGTAAGAAGGTGGGGTGTGTGGAAAGTTATTCATATTTAGGGAGTATTATTTACAATAAACTGCATTTTGATGTAAATACCAGAAAGAAGTCTGTCAGTTTTATTCAACAGTTCTCCTGAATTTTTTGCACTGCTGTTTGCTATAGAACGATCAAAGATGAAGAAAAATTATACAAATATTAATTTATCCCTTGTACACTCAGATTGTTAAATACTCAGAATGGTAATATATTAATATTTTAAATGTATATGTAGCCCACAGTTGTGTGTTCTTATTTATCTTGTTTTATATTGTGGTGTATATTTTTATGTGCTTATTCCACTGGATACAAATATCTCAATAAAGTTGAACATGAACTAACGTTACATCAAAAATACACAAAACATAAAAAATAAACAAACAATGACGGCTTATTAGTGAATGGTGACATGAGAAGTACAGAAGATCACAGGATCAATAACATCCCGCCAGATTGCCTGAATCCAGTTCCTTCGAACTTCATCGACAGGGAACTGACGAGGGAAGGAATGAAAACGACAGGTATGGCTGCTTTTGGGAATAACCAAAAAGATCGGTACGCAACAACTCTCACTAGTTGCCTTCGGCGCTATCTGTTATGAATGGAGCGGAAGAAGATTATCACGACAATTGCGTATTTCCGGTCACAAATACGGAAGTTGTGAGAAAGGTCTATAAGCCTGTATCCTATTTTTCCTATTTTCTGTCGGGTCGGACTTTTCCCGCGCTGTCTCAAGCACGTTCATGTTAAACGTTTCAGATCACTCTGCCACCACCGCTAGTCAGCAAGTAGCCTACACTCGCAAGCAGAACACTTTATCTCAAACAATGTTCTTACCTCTGTAAACATTGTTGACCTCTTTGCAGCAGATGACTAGTGAAGTGTGCACGTAAAAACGCCCGTTGCGAGAGCAGTTCTGTTTTTTGGCCACAGGTGTCAGTTGCGAGTTTAAATTTCAGGAAACGCATGTAGCCTCTTTAAGCTTAGTTTCTCATGGAGAGTTGAACTGATCTTACATAACATGTTGACGTTATAAAATGTGCTACATTAATAAATATGCCCTTGAGATTGACATCTCATATTTGAGGGGGCGTTAGCTCCGTGAGAGGGGTCCTGAGCTTGTGGCCAGGGCATAGACTAGGAAAAATAAGATGGTCACTTGGGCACAAGCAAACACTTGGGACATCACTGCACTGCACACATCACTATATGATGAGAACAGAGAACTGTTAAAAATGACAGAAACCATTATTTGAAGTGTAATTTTGTACAAGTTTGGCTTGTGTCCCGTTGGATTACATGGAGAGGGCGGGGTTTATGACCTATCCGCACAGCTAACAAGGGGCGATCGAAAAGCTTTGGCTTCACTTTTCAGGACTCGTGTGGCACACTTGGACCAGGGACTGAAGAAACCTCTCGTCCCCCTGAGTTACCAACCTCTCCAAAACTTTTTAAAGATCCAATCAATTCTCAATGTTAAAAGACGTCCAGCCCTGTTTTCTGATTAAATATCTTGTTTTACTCAGCAATATATCACATTACAGAAGTTAATGTTTAGTTTCGGAGATTCAGTGAGTTTTTAAGTGTGGGAATCTGGTTATTCTCACGCTCTGTCCATGACACACACAGTGGACGTCGGTCATGATTTAACACGCATATAGAATGTGACCGCTTGTTTCCCCACTGGATCCTGATGACCATCTGATCCATTTAATCAGAGATAATGGACTACACTCAGATCCCTAGAGTATCTTTCTTTTTCTCCCTGTCTCTCTCTCTGTTTCTCTCTCTCTCTCTGTGTGTCTCTCCGTGTCTCTCTCTCTTTCTCTTTCTTCACATATTGAGTGTTTTATTCTCCAGTCATTTAATTAAAAACCTTTGTGCCCAATAGAGGATTTAATGCTGAACCGAATCAAAACAGATTCATCACTGATTACAGACTGTATAATTATTTCTGATGTGGGAAGCCTCGCAGATAATTACTCAAACTCTATTTAAATCTGTTTTTTCTTTAGGACTAGAGAGCATCTCAATCCGCCGGCTGTGTTGTCTGGGTCAGAGAGGAGCGGAGCATCATGTCAGAAGCGTTTGACTGTGACGGATGTAAGGAGTCTCTGTACGGGAGGAAATACATCCAGGTGGATGACGTTCCTCACTGCGTCCCCTGTTACGACCGGCTGTACGCAAACACTTGCGAGCAGTGCAAAGAGCTCATCCAACACAACGCACGCGTGAGTGTTTCACTTATGAGATTCATAGGTTGACTCATATATATTTGCAAAACATCATTTTGAAAAGGATTCATTACAATATATTTTATATATTTTAGATGTAGTTGTAATTATATATGTAAATTATTTATGAATATATTTAAACACACACCTAGGATTATTAGGAACACCTGTTCAATTTCTCATTAATGCAATTATCTAATCAACCAATCACATGGCAGTTGCTTCAATGCATTTAGAGGGGTGTGTCCTGATCTAGACAATCTCCTGAACTCCAAACTAAATGTCAGAATGGGAAAGAAAGGTGATTGGTTGTTGGTGCCAGACGGGCCAGTCTAAGTATTTCTCAATCTGCTCAGTTACTGGGATATTCACGCACAACCATTTCTAGGGTTTACAAAGAATGGTGTGAAAAGGGAAAAACATCCAGTATGCGGCAGTCCTGTGGGCGAAAATGCCTTGTTGATGCTAGAGGTCAGAGGAGAATGGGCCGACTGATTCAAGCTGATAGAAGAGCAACTTTGACTGAAATAACCACTCGTTACAACCGAGGTATGCAGCAAAGCATTTGTGAAGCCACAACACAAACAACCTTGAGGCGGATGGGCTACAACAGCAGAAGACCCCACTGGATACCACTCATCTCCACTGCAAATAGGACAAAGATGCTACAATTTGCAAGAGCTCACCAAAATTGGACAGTTGAAGACTGGAAAAATGTTGCCTGGTCTGATGAGTCTCGATTTCTGTTGAACATTCAGATGGTAGAGTCAGAATGAGAACATGGATCCATCATGCCTTGTTACCACTGTGCAGGCTGGTGGTGGAGGTGTAATGGTGTGTGGGATGTTTTCTTGGCACACTTTTTAGGCCCCTTAGTGCCAATTGGGCATCGTTTAAAATAAATGATGCGCATTGTTTCTGAGCATGTCCATCCCTTTATGGCCATGTCCCCATCCTCTGATGGCTACTTCCAGCAGGATAATGCACCATGTCACAAAACTCGAATCATTTCAAATTGGTTTCTTGAACATGTCAATGAGTTGACTGTACTAAAATGCCCCCACAGTCACCAGATCTCAACCCAATAGAGCATCTTTGAGATGTGGTGGAACTTTTTCATAAGTGTTCCTATGTGTGTGTGTGACTTGCAAACTTCCTCAGTATTTTTAAACAATTGCTTCCACTTGTCCTGTGTTGTATTTGGATGTGTCTTCATGTGTTTTATGATTGCTCTTCAGTGAGTTTACACACACAGGCATAAATCCATTCCATATACTAGACACAGGAGATGTATGTGTGTATAATTCGTCATAGATTTCCACTCTCACAGCTGGTCACGGTCCCGCGCGACAGACGGCCAATGCAAACAGAGCGCTCGCCGCTCGCCGTCTGACTTACACATCCACTGGGAGAAAAGCACACTACATAAATACTACTACTACACGCTCTCTCTCTTTCTGTGTTTTTCTCCCTCGTTCTCCATCAGTCATCTGGAGACGTGATGATTTGTGGGTCATTCGGCTTAAAGGACGTCATTTATTATACACAGGTCACATGTGACGGGCTGTTGGGTTTCAGAAGTCAAGTCACCTTTATTTATATAGAGTTTTATACAATTCAAATCAGCTTTACAGTGACTTTTTCACTGGAAGATCTTTGGGAAGACAAACATGAGGAGGTTAAACAGAAGCTTCTGTTCTGTGTTCAGTATTAGCCGTCTGATCTTTAAGAGCTTGGATTAGTGGAAGATAGTAAAGCATGTTTTCATAGCGCAGACAATTCCTTTCATGGTACACTGTAAAAAATGCCTGTGAAATCTACAGTTATTTACTGTAGATGTCACAGTAACAATACTGTAAAAGATTTTTACAGTAGAATATTGTAAAGTTTACAGTAAGACCTTAAAAATCACAGTAGTTCAAGCATTACAGTGGAAATCACAGTAGTCAAAGCATTACTGTAAAAAATCACAATACAGCCACTAAAGTACTGTAAATAGTAAAGTAAACTACTGTAATTTTCCTTTTTTATCATATCTTTCTTTGTAACCCTTGTGTTGTAACTTGTACTCTGATGCACCTGCTGCATGAGCTTTCTATATATATATATATATATATATATATATATATATATATATATATATATATATAAAGAATTTAAATATCTTTTGTTTGTTTGTATTTGTGACTGTAAATGGGTGTTAACAGGGCATAAACATATTTAATCCTTATCTTAAACTTCTCCAAAGTCTCCCCTAACAATATAGGCTTCATAAATGCATAATTTTTTGAGATATCATATCATCCTCTGATTTGAAATGAAGCATGACCATTGGTTATAAGTTGCAATAGTATTCACACTTTTCTATAAATATTAACATATACATTTAATAAATATATTCTTAATGTTGGTTTTTTATCTTTAGCTTAACGTTATATACTTCAATATTAATAACATTTGATTAATCATGAGTTTTGAATTTGAGCCAAAACTCTCAAGCTTCTAAGTATGTTTTGATTAATGTATCTATTCAGAATGAAGAAACCTTTTTATTATGTGTAGGTTATGTGTGCATTACTTTCCAAAATTGGGGCTGCCTGGTTAACTCATAAATACGTAACATGGGATTTTTATTTTACAAAAATCAGTGTTTTTATATGTATATATATTCGAAAGCAGGAGAGATAAATGTGCAAGTTTCCAGAGCTGTTTCTGAGCTGCAAGGCGAAATCAAAACGCCGTCAGAGTGGGCGGGGTTTAGGCAGTCAAAGCTAGAGTCTGTTAGAAAAAAGCGCGAAAGAAGCATTTGAATTTCTGTTTCGTCGTCAGTGACAGAAAAGCTAAGTTAATAGTCGAATTTACGTTTTCGTAACAGCCTTTAACGTTAAGCTCCGTTAATAAGTCTAGTATTTTTCAAATGTGCGTTTCTTTATACACGGCTTTGTCTTGTGGTTGTAACGTTATTTATTTTGTTTTCGTCTTTGTGTTGATATCTTTCACTTTTTGCCTGAGAGGAATTCAGCGAAAACGTTTCCGTGAGAGCGCCGACGGAGACGTTTTTACAGCCTTTAAACGTTATTAGTATTAGTTAGCCAACAGTTTACCTAGTTATCGGTAGCTAGCTAGCCAGGAGAATTTTTTTCCCCCACCCGTTGCCTCAGCCGGAGTTTCCATCTTGGGATCGCGGATCCTTCACCAACTGCTAATGGGGATTCGGGACTTCCAGAAAATCAGTAAGTTAAGTAACGTTAACTTTACGTACCATTTTACACCCCCCAACATAATGCAGGTTGACAAGCCTCCAATTGTTCAAGTACAGGTTTGTTTGTGTCAGGTTTATGTTATTGGTGGTTGAGCATTTTTTCTTTAATAGACCTCACCTCACAATAATAACGTTAAGTTATAACATGGTGCTAACGTCTATCTCAATTATTGGTTAAATGCTGGGTAACTTAACAGTTAAAGTCACTGGTGTCCACTGTGTGAACAATATTTTAATTAAGAGAAAATTGATGTAACTTAGAGTGGTAATTGATAAAGTTATTGTGGTAAGTTACTTAGTTTTTTTATGAGTAAACATGCACAAACCTAAAGAGAAAAAAAAAAGGCTCATTGCTTTCTTATCAACAATTTTTATAAAGCTTTTTCTATCCTAGTTAGTTACCTTCTTTCGAGTGACTCTTTATCTTTGCTGGCATAGGAGACTAACGGTACCACTCCCTCAGATGTAGAGGCCCAGCTGTCTCCTCCCTATCACTCCAAGGATTATCATGCTTGGTAAGTTTCACATTCACTGTTAACAAATCCTTAATGTATTAACTTTATGCACAAGCAAAGCAACGTTTCTGGAAAACACTCGTGAATGCAATGAGTTTGTGTCGTGCCATTCTCTGCACTAGTCAGCAGTCACTTCAAAAACTTAAGTTATGTGGAGTAAGTTACTCTCTTATTTTTAGTAGCCACCTATAATGTCGTGATTACTATTTCAGATTGCTTGCTATGCCTGTGTCACTCATTGTTTTTCTATCACCAAACCAGTAACTGCTATTTAAAATCCTTAAAATTCACCTCAAAATGAAAGTTTCCGAATAATTTACAAGATATCCATGTCTTTCTTTCCTTCCTCAATGAAAGAGAAATGACATTTTTGTAGGAAAACATTTCTAGATTTTTCTTTGAATAATGGGCTCCAGTAGTCCAACAATTGTAGATAAAAAGTATATAAATTATAATTTTTTTTTCAGAAAATGACTGATCATTTCGCTAGATAAGACCCTAATCCTCAGCTGGGAACCTGTATAGTGCGTTGAAGTACTTCAAAGACCTTTGAAACTGCATTCATTTGGACTTTAAAACGTTGATTACAATTGAAGCCCATTATCCAAAGAAAAATCAAGAAATGTTTTCTTTAAACTTAATTTCTCTTCCACTGAGGAAAGAAAGACATGGATATCTTGGATGGCATTAGGGTGAGTAAATTATTAGGAGATTTTCATTTTGAGGTGAACTAATCAATCCTTTAATCCACTGCTTCAAAGATATGTATGCTCCCTGCCCTGTTTTTACAATAATTTATGTGGAAAAAATCTTTTATTGAATGTATCGCTATGAAATATAATTTTTGTGATGACTCTTGTCTTTACTAAGGAGAGACTGCAAAAAAATGGATGCTGTCGATCAAGGGGAGGGTCGTAACCCCACCTGGTGCTCACATGGTGGACTTCACCACTGCCTTGGCCGCTCTCTTCGCCTGTTACGTATTCAACCTACAGTATTAGGTGGAAGCCAGCACAACACTGGAGTTTGATCAGAGGTATTTTTATATTAAATAATTTGATTGCAATGTAAAAGCACATTGACAATTGAAAAGCTGTTCAAAATCATCTTCTCCCTTTAAAATGTTATGTAATAGGTAGGGCCCTATGAAATCCATTTTATTTTTCCCAAATTCCGTTTTATTTTTTCCCAAATTTCGTTTTTTCCGTTTTAATTTTAGGGAATTAGGTTTTTTTTTACCCTTGACTGTTATTTTAGTTGTAAAAAAAAAGTATGCTTTTAAAGTTAATGATAAAAATCTATTAAAAAAATAAAAATAAATTAGGAATGACCTTAAATTTATTGAGGTAATACAGACAATTACTCAGTAGCCTTTTCAGGACAAATACTGCATGATGCAAAATAACACTGCACTCTTCAAGTAACAACAAAATATGGTTATGAGCTTTAAACTGTCCAGTAATATAAATTATATTAGTTTATAAGTTTAAATAAAGTCACACTCTGTCTCTCATGGAGTTCGCTTCGCCTTTGTCCAGTCCGGCGCCTCAGACAGACGTGGTGTGCACGTCGTGTGTATGTGTGTGTGTGTGTGTGTGAGAGAGACGCGTGAGTGAGAGAGAGACGGAGGGAGAGCGGGGAAATACAACTGAATGAATACGCTGCGTGTTTTAAATAGTGTTAAAAACCGAAACGCAGTATGTGGCGGTGAATTAAGTGTGGGAAACACTGCATAAGTCACGTGCGAACTGCTCGGCACTGACGGCTTATACCGTTGAGTTTCTTAACTTTTAGTCGACGAAAGGAGAGCCGCTTCGCCATGCTTTCATTGTTTTGATTTCGTCATTGGAGCTGAAATGATGGGTTGGGGGGTTGAGTCGCCCAGATTTGCTTCCCCCGGTCTGCATTTTCAACAGACATACGTTCTTCTCCACACAAAAACAGAATTTCAAACCAAATATGTAAAAATCCACGAAATTCCGCGTTAACACTAGATTCCGCGTTAATTGGCCAATTCCGCGATTTCGTTATCGCGGAAATCATAGGGCTCTAAATAGGGCTGGCGATATGTCTGAAAACTGTATCACGATATAAGTGTTTCATATTGGTTGATATCGACAATTATTGATATTTTATGACCTATTTAAAATAAGGACCATGAGAAAAATATATTACATTTAAACATTTTTATTTTAAACCTAAAGGATTAGTTCACCTCAAAATGTAAATTTCCTTATAATTAACTCACCCAATGGCATCCAAGATATCCATCTCTTTCTTTCTTCAGTGGAAAAGAATTTAAAGGAGAACTCCAGCGTAAAATGAACCGTTGGTCTAATAACACATTTTTACCTAGTCAGCCGTTCTCTGATATTTGTTTTCATGATAATCGAATGTAAAGAGTTTTATCTCTAAAAACTGTTTAGATTATAACGCTAGTATATGGGGACATATAATAAGTAAGATCTATCGCTAGTTAATACCACTAACAAGGCTCAAAATAGCCCCACACTAACACCAAACGGCATTCGTGGTTCGACTTGTCGAGACTGTTTTCCCAAGATGGCTCCTGCCTGTATACGCGAAGTGGACTGTCTTGATAAAATATCTTCTTATTATACTGTCTGTACACTTACAAAGTTCTCAATGCTTCGTTTTGGATGTAGGGACCCTCATTATGTTACTATGTTAGTGTGGGGCTATTTTGAGCCTTGTTAGTGGTATTAACTAGCGATTTCTTTTTACTTAGTCAATGCCCCCATATACTAGCGTTATACACTAAACAGTTTTTAGAGATAAAACTCTTTACATTCGATTATCATAAAAACAAATCTCAGAGAATGGTCGACTAGGTACCAATATGTTATTAGACCAAAGGTTAATTTTGCACTGGAGTTCTCCTTTAAGAACTAATCCTTTAAAGGGAAAATTAAGCAGTCAATCAAGTTTACAAGATTTACTAGATGGATTTCCACTATAATCAACAATTATATAAGACACATGACAAATGTAAACATATAAAAAAAAAAAGTAAAAACTTAATATCTTTCGCCGCCAGGGTGGCGCCATTGCGCAGTATTCTAACATGTGACGTAACGGGGTTGGTTGGCTTTAGTTAATAGGCTTTGGGCAGTGAATATCCCAACATCAAACTGTTTACACCACAGTGTTTTGACCGCGGACGACTAATGTTAGGTACAGTTATTAGACAAAAAGACAATGTCTAATGTTATGTTGACAATCTGCACTGTGTTCACGTGTTCAAACATTGTTCACGATGTCTGCCATCATATTCCCGTCTCGTCAACACCATGTAAGTTACGTTGCTATGTAGAGCAACACATGTAAGTTACGTTGCTATGTAACCACCACCGGTGGTGGTTTGGGGCGAAGAGCGGGTTTGAAATGCTAACAGGTGTCAGTATGGCTGTTGAATTGCGATGCCCACTGTGTCAGAGTCCATCTGCTTTCAAGAGGTTGATCTTGACCATGCGTGGTCAATTCTGCATCACTGGCACGCACGTTTACCATGCTATACCATCTATACTAGTTAAAACTCATAAATAACTACAAATAACTAATGTTAGGGTAATCTGTTATGTTTGTTGCGTGTTTCTTTAAAAAAAAAAATATATATATATATATATATATATATATATATATATCGGCCGATATATAGGAATATCGGATTTTAAAACCAACAAATATTTGTATCGGTATCGGCCTTCAAAATCCTTTATCAGTCGGGCTCTAGTTAAAATAACTGATCTGTCACGAGACGTCTGAATCGGTGTATAACAAATTGGTAACACTTTACAATATGGTTACATTTATTAAACTCTAGTTAACTACATTAGTTAACATTAACTATTAATAAACTGCACTTCTACAGCATTTTATTAAACTTTCTAAATGTTAATTTCACCATTTACTAGTAGCCTAAATTATTTAAATAAGTTGTATTTGTTAAAGGAACACTCCACTTTTGTTTTTTATTGGCTCTACAACTCTCCCAGAGTTAAACAGTTGAGTTTTACCGTTTTCGAAACCATTCAGTCGATTTAATGTGTTTTCTTCTTTAATTTCAGGGCTCCAAATAGGATTCTCTGTCTCCAAGGTCAAGGCATGCAAGAGGCCATAGACCTTTGCCAAGTGGCAGGGGAAGTTTATTTTCTTTCTGTTTTAAATGTTCATGCAAATGTTAAATATATATTTTTTTAATGTTCAATGTTTTATTTTATTTCAATATTGCCATAATGTTATTTATTGCTCTTTAGAATGGGGTAATCAGTTATTTTGCACAACTTCAAAGTAGTTAAATTTTTTGACTGTATTGTATCAATTTGCATTATTGTTCCATTATAGCAACTAGTCATACGGAACTAGTGAATGAACTAGTAACAGTTTGCTCTGTAACTTTACAAATCTTGTAATGAAATAGGCTCGTTGTATCAATTTGTATTAGCCTATTGTTCCGTCATAGCAACCTGTCATACAGAACTATTGAATGAACTAATAACAATTTGCTCTGTAACTTTAAAAAAACGTTTTGTAAAATTTTCTTCAGTCGTAAATTAAAGGAACACGACAACTTGTTTGGACTTAGCATATTCACTGTATCCCCCAGAGTTAGATATATCTCGTGCATGCTGTAACTCTGTCTGACACACCCACCGCTAGCCTAGCTTAGCACAAAGACTGGGTCTAAATGGCTCCAACTAGCATACTAATCCCAATAAGTGACAAAATAACGCAAACATTTTCCTATTTACATGTTGTGATTTGTATAGTCACAGAGTGTACAAAAAACAAGGTCATATGTGACACAGCCATCTTTACCGTATAAATATTTGGGAACTATATTCTCAGAAGGCGAAG